ATTCCTAGACGCTTTGTGCAAGGCAAAGTTCGCCGCAGCTTTGTGGAGGGCCACCTGGCAGAAATGTCACAGTAAAACTGCAAGGCCCTCGGACCCAGCAAGCCCACTTCTGTGAATGTACTCATTTGTAACAGCAAGACAATAAGCATAGACTCAGTGTTCACCTAGCAGATGAATCAAATTGCAATTCATTCCTGCATAGGTACAAAAAAATAACAGCATGCCTTTTATACTGACACACAACAATCATCAAGATAAATTAAGGGTGAAAAACAAGATGCAGGACAGGGTTCTATGTGCTCCACGAGAATATACTGGCACTGTCTACATATAGGCTGGCATTTGCACAAAGTGTCTCTAGCAGGGGATACAAGACATTGATGACATCAATGACTTTTGGAAGAGGCAAGGAGGTGAACAAGGGACAAAGATGAAAGGGCTCTATTTCACTTTTTACCATCTCAACTTAGGAAATCGATTTTATAGGTCACTTCCAGAAACTCTCTACTGTCTACTGTGGAAAAAAGTATGGTGGGCTAGAAGCCAGCCTCTTCCAGCCTGGGCTGCCTGACTCAATTACTCTGCAGACTCAGGAGCTCTGACAAGCCACGTCATCCACCAGGTGCCAGGCAGATTCAGGACACACGGAGTCGGCCCTCCAGCATGCACCAGGCAGCACAGTGAGAAGATAACACACAGAGGGGACACTCTGAGGAAATTAAATAAAGTGTTTGAGGAACTGGTCAGAGGTCAGTGGCTGCAGCAATGCTGAAGAGGTAGAAGGTAAGCAGGTCAGATCTCAGGGGGCCTGCAGCCAGGCACGGGGCCTTCGTTTTATTCAAGTGCAACGTAAGGCTATGAAGGGCTTTCAGAGAGTGTTATAATCTAACTTGTGTTTTAAAGCATAAGGTTCCCTGGCTGTGTGTACAGTGTGTCAGAAACAAAGCTGCAGTTACAAATGCACAAACTAGCTGTTATGGTTTAGACGAGCTCTCCCCAAAAAGTTCATGTGAGACAACGCAAGAATTTTCAGAAGTGAAATGATTGGGTCCTGAGAGCTGTAACCTAGTCCACAGATTAAGCCACCGTTAAGGATTAGCTGGGTGTTAGCTGTAGGTAGGCGGGTGTAGCTGGAGGAGGTGGGTCACTGGGGGTGTGACGGCGGGGGGCTGTATTTCTGCCCTGGTCAGTGGAGCCCTCTACTTCCTTGTTGTCCTCTGCTCCTTTTTTCAGCCTCACCTCAGGACCAGAGCTGGAGTCACCTGACTGTGGGCTGAACCTCTGAAACTGTGAGCCAAAACAAACTTTTCCTTCTCTAAGTGGTTCTTGTCTGGTGTTTTGGTCACAGCAGAGAAAAAGCTGATTAAAACACTGAACAAACAGGCGCAGGCGAGATGAGGTGGTTGAGAACAGGGTAGTGGCTTCTGAATGGAGGTGGAAAGAGAATGGATCAAAAATACATTCTTGGGGGGCTGGGGATGTGGCTCGAGCGGTAGCGCGCTCGCCTGGCATGCGTGCGGCCCGGGTTCAATCCTCGGCACCACATACAAACAAAGATGTTGTGTCCGCCGAAAACTAATAAATAAATAAATATTAAAATTCTCTCTCTCTCTTTTAAAAAAGAAATACATTCTTGGGCTGGGGCTGTAGCTCAGTAGTAGAGCACTTGCCTCATATGTGTGAGGCACTGGGTTCGATCCTCAGCACCACATAAAAATACAAATAAAGATATTGTGTTCATCTACAGCTAAAAAAAATAAAAATAAATACATTCTTAAGGTGGAAACCACAGTGATTGGTGATGAATGTGTGTGGAAGGTTCTCAGCCTACACAGCTGGGTAAACAGAGGGGCGGTTTACTTTGCTGGGAAAGACAAACAAGAACCAGTGAAGACTGGGGTGTGGTGAGGGAGCGCATTAGGACCGAGCTGCCAAAAATTCATGTGAAGCTGCCAAACAGGTGACTACCCAAGACCAGAGCCCAGAAGAGAGCTAAAATTGAGCATGTCCACAAAGCAGACAGGGCAGAAACCCATGGGATGACCACCCGGCAGAAAGTACAAAGAGGTCCCAGGCCAGGTCCAGGGGGATCAGCTTGTAAAGATGGCAGAGGAAGAGCAACCTGCCGAGAGATGCCAATTCACCAGGTCAGGGAGGAGAGGAAAAACAAGAGAGTCTTGGAAGTTTCCAGAAGGAAAGGAGGTGGGATGTTATTAGAAAGTTGGTTAATTAAATGTGGACAGAAAAATGGCAAAAGAATTGGCAATGTGGAATTTTAGTAACTGATAATAGCAACTTGACTGGAGGGGTGTGGGCAGAAGCTGGAATGGAAGGAGAAGGAACTTGGCTCTGAACAAGGAACAGCAGTGGAGAGGTAAGGGAGAAGATGCGAAGACAAGGGAACATATTTGCCTGTGGATAATGTGCGTGATCTAATGGACAGGCAAAAACATGGAGGTGAAGAAGGGCAAAGGAAGGGGTGAAGCCCTTGGGGAGCAGTGGGGTTCAGTATGTCGTCAGAGGGTCTGATTTGAAGGGAGGACACAAAAGGAAGGGGCGAGTGCAGAGGAAACAGCCTTCCAGACAAGATGAAGAAGCAATGATGACTGGTAGGTAGTCTCTAGGATTCCGCACAACAGTGATGCTGAGGGCACTGTCGTACCTAGTGCCCCTGCCTCACCTGAGTGTCCTGAGGAACAAAAGACAAAAGGATGTCAAAATGCTTTAAGAGGAAAAGAGGGTATAACCTTTACAGCTGGCCCACCGCCTGAATCCCCTGGCTTCCACATCTGTGGACACAGCCAACCTTGGATTGGAAATACTTGAATCCAACTGAGCCGGTCCTGAACCTGAAGACTTCTTTTTCTCGTCATTATTTCCTAATTCAGACTGATAACTACGGACACCGGTGGCATTTATGCTGTAGTGGGCATGTTAAGTGGTCTAGAAATGACTGGGGGCACTGGGAGGACACGCCTCCGTTATATGCAAATACCATGTCATTTTACGGGAGCCTGGGCCTCCGGGGGTTTCCCCGAGGGCTGCTGAGGGGCAGCTGACCTTCCGTGGATGTCCTGCTGTCTCCTCTGATAACCACCAGGGCACAAGGACGCAGAGCAGCGGCCAGGCTCCCCGGCTAACACGGTCCCCGCGGTCCTAACCAGTCTTAGGAAACAGACGGCCAGCGACCAACGAGAAAACGTGCAGGTCACCGCGCACACCTCTGCGCAGCGGGCCCGGCGGGGTCCTAGGCGGGCGAGGCCGCTGCTTCACCGGCAGCTGCCGGGGCGCGACCCGCCGGCCCCCCCAGCTCCCGGAACCGCCGCGCTGAGCTCACCTTTCTCCCCGGCCGCGTCCATCTCGGCTTCCCGGGAGGAGCCTGCGGAGGAAGGGCGGCGGTGAACAGGGTCACGGGCCCACGGACTCTCGCCCTCGCCTGGCCCTCGCTTCACCCTCGCCGGCCGCGGAAAACGAAGCCGCCCCGCCGAGGGTTTAAATGCAGCGCCGGGCGGCTCAGGCCGCCGATTGGTCGGTTTGAACAGGCTCGCCGCCCGGTGCACCCTGGGAGTTGAAGTCCGAGCACCGGAAGTGAGCCTAGCGCGCACGCGCACTGCTCCGCGCGTCGGCTTGGCTGCGCGCGGCGCAGACACTCCTGCCCGGAAGTCTGCGGACCTCCAGTTGCCGCCCCCGATTTCGCTTAAGCTACGGGGCGCTTGGGAAGGGCTAGGGAGATAAGGCTCGGGAAGGCGGGGTGGTCTGCAGCGTGGGAGGAGGGTGGCCTCCCAATGCACTCCCCTTTTGCGTGTCCTGGCATCCCCGACGCCTCTGCATCCTGAGGCTCCCGCATCATCCTGGGGCATCGATGTGCTGGGACCCTTTTACCTTTACTTTCCCGCCCTGAACCTCTGACCTTGCGCCCTCTTCCTAGTAGCATTCCTTGTGTTTCTCAGGATCTCATCTACCTGGAAAACAGTGTTGATGACAGATCCACCCAGGTGCACACCCTTTGGGTGGCAAATGACCCTAAACCAGTTTCAGGCCGGTTTTAGAAAGGAGGATTTCCTGGTTCCCAGAACAGGGAAGTCTGGGGGTGGCCTGCATAGAGGAAGGCTCAAAGGAGAGTGGCTTGGACCTCCCATCCACCACTTCTTGGTTTTGCTCACGCGCCCCCACCGCTCTGGCCTTGTTGGGCCCACCAGCTACCTTCTCTTGGGTGGTGGCCAGTTAGTTTCACCTGCAGTAAATCTGGGATCGCAAGGGCTGGGCTTACTTGACTCACAAACAAAAGGGAAGACTATGGCAGGAGCTCCATGGTCCATACATCTTTGGCTCCACTCCTGCCTTGCCCTCTGCAGGTTAGATCCTTGCAGCCCTAAGGATGTCTGCTGGGGGGAGGGGCGGTCCCTAACACCCACTCTAATGCACCTCTACTTATATCCTATCAGCACCCAGAAGGATCTCAGTAAACAGCACTGATGGTGAATAACTTGTTGCCAGCGTGACCTGTATCTTCCCTCCATTACTCCATTCCTCTCTGGCTTCCTCTTTCATCATTGGCCTGCCCGCTGTAGGCTCACTTCTTCCTTCCCCAAGTCTCGTTCTACTTCATTTATTTATGTATTCTTTCATTCATTCATTCACCAACTTTCACTGACAGCTTCTCAGTGCAGGTCGTGTGCCAGTGATGCTAGGGACACAGATGCTGTCCCTGACCTGATGTTGCAGCAGGAGAGAAAGGTGCAATAGCAAGGTCAGGTGGCAATGGCTGTGGGACACAAAGGAGGCACCCTCACCAGCCTGTAGTTGGAGTGGACAGCTTCCTGGAGAAGGGACTAGGGTTCCCACTTCCTTGGCCAAGTTGTGTCTGGCTTCCAACCAGAAAAGGGAAGGAGGCTCCCCCTTGAATGTGTCCTCAACTTCTGGGTAGAGACAGCATGTCTCAAGGGGGCAAAATTGTGACGTATGCAGTCGAGGGAGAAAAATAAAGAATGTCCACGTGCTTCTGCCCTTTTCAATGCTTTATTCACTCAAATCACTCAATACAATTTCACTCTATAGGTTCTTAATCAAGAAAACGGCAATCCTTACTGCTAGGCATTGCAGTAGACATAATCAATTCACAGAAAACGATCTGAGATTAATTCTAAGCACAGCAAAACACACTTAATCATGACAGGTTAATGACAGACATTCCCTCTGCGTGCTAAGTTCAGAAGTCTCAAGTCTTAGGCTTGATGTCCAGCAGATGCACACTCACTCAAACCTCGGTGATCAGGTCTGGAACCAAGGCAGGCTTCTCCTAGTGTGGAGTGGACCACCAGTTGAGAAGGTCATAGGGAGAAGTTTGGCTCTTACCAAGGTCCAGATGAGGCCGTAGAGTTTGAGAGCGGTGAGGATCATGCAGAGGATCAGGAAAATAATGACAAATGACGGGATGTCAGTCCAGGTCCTCATTAGGCCCTCTAGTACATCCTTGTTTTGGCTGGCTGAATCCCTGTTCATTAGCTCTATTATTTATAATAAATTTTGGGGCTTTTGACCCCCCTTTCAATCCTCATCAGCTACCACCGGATATCTCCTTGACGCCATTTATCCTGGGGTCAGAAACATCTGGCCTGGTGGTCTTTACCCTGATCTTCTCACCTAATAAGTGAGGATAGCCTGCCAGAGGCTTCACTCTATCAGGGTGAGGGGAAGTGACTTGTTTATGTCTGAGGGCCACACTGGAGGGCTATGTTAGCTGTGCCAGCCAAGACGGCAGGTTTCAAACTGGAGTTGCTTAGGCTCAGGCCTAAGGCCATCCTCCCAGTATGTCTCTTTTTTTCCCTGATACTGGAGATTGAACCCAAGGGCATTCTACCATTGAGCTACATCTCTGGTCATTTATTTTTTATTTTGAGTCAGGATCTCTATAAATTGCTGAGGCTGGCCTGGAACTTGTCATCCTCCTGCTTTGGCCTCCTGGGTCACTGGGATTACAGGCATGCCCCACCAGGTCTGGCAAGACACAGCACCTCTCTTGAGATCAATATGTTATTAACTATTTTCTTGAGTTGCTTCCCACCCACCCAAGTTCAAGGAGAAGCTAGTTTTTGCAGAATCCAGCCCAAGTATTGGAACATTCAAAGGTGCCCATAAGAATTAGGGAAAAAAAAAAAAAAAACAATTAACTCATTTTAATCCTGGGAATTTGCCCAGGCTTGAGCAAACTGCAGGGGCATAGTGGGTCTGAAGGCCTCCTCTCCCCTTCAGGAGACCTGCCCACTTCCTGCTCCAGTGAGTCCCCAGTGAACTTTAGTGGGAACTGAAGGGACTTGAAAAACATCTTTGCACTTGAACCTCCCCGTATCAAGGCTGCCAGCAGCACAGCTGCCAGGGGGAAGCAGGAGACAGGCAGCATTCACAGGACAGCTCCAATCCTGTTCCAGCCACACACCAGTGCTTTGGTTTTTGCACAACAGAGCACCCCGGAGCATAATTCACACCCCAGTAATGCATGTGCACCCAGGGGATAGAATCAGAGTGCACTCAAGGCCTCATTCCCAGGTACAGTTCAGAAAGAAATGAGCCCAGATGGACACCACCAAAGCCCCCAGGGAGGGTGGCTCAAGAACGTCCCTCCAGAGACGAAGCAGGAGTGGCTCTGTGTGCTTGTGATCTAGGAGGAGGGCAGTTGGGGCAGCACTGGGGGCTGAGGCCAAAGACATCGAGGTGAAGACCCTCCCAGGGAGGTCAGGTGGCTTCACTGGCTATGACCCTGGGGGGCACACTCCCCCACTCATCACACCCTCCCCTGAAAAATGGGACAGGAGGACTTGTCTAGAATACAAGGACATGAAAGAATTTCCTTCAAGGGCAGCTAGGTGTGGGCAGGGCTGCCTCAGCTGGCCAGCCCCACCTTCCAACCCCACCTTCCAACCCATGAACACCGGGAGCTGGTGTTCAGTGTGCCCATGGGCAAGTCTGACCTACAAGGCGACTAGAGACAGCAGCACCATGAAAATTGCACCCTCACCCTTCCCAAGAAAATGCCGAATCACACTTTGATTTGTGTTCTCTTTCTAAAGAACCGCTGGCTCAGGGGGCTTTTGCTAAGGCCGAATCTTGCCCTCTAACAACCAGCTGTTTCCTAATCCTAACCCCAGGGGAGCCCAACTAAAGCTAGGAGGCCACCACTGAGCTTCTGCAGGCCATGGGCCAGGCCTGGCTCACTCCAGGAGGTGGACGCTGGCGGCCTTGCGGAGGAGCCTCTCGGTCAGAGGTGAGTTGGGCTTCAGGGCATCGCGCTCCATCAGCAGGCTCCTGCGAGACAGACGTGAGGTTCTGTTGTAGGACACCTTCCAAAAGAAGGTGGAGGCCTGTTGTCCCTTGGGCCCAAGGCAGGGACCCAGCAGCCCTGGACAGCCCAGAGGCCTGGCCTCAGCTGGGGAAAGGGTGGGGGGAGGAAGCACTGTGCGCTGCTGGCAGGAGCAGACTGGGACACCTGATTCCGCCTCAGAGATAAAAACTAGATACCCAAGACACCAAGGGCAAGGGTTCTGGGTGGGGTCATCACTGTGACCTTGTTAGCCTCTGGGAAAGCCAAGGCTCAAAAGTTCACAGCTCATCATCATCCATCAGCCCAATGCTGGGGACAGAGGGACAGCAGATGTGGCATGGGCAGGAAGCACACGGCACTGTCCAAGACATCGAGCTACAGAACAGAGGTGGGGGTTGGGAGCAAGGGTGAAGAAAGCAAGTATAGGTGTGGTTTGAGGTAGAGACCCTGCTATGAGCTGGGCATGGTGTTCACGCCTGTACTCCCAGCTACTAATGAGGCCGAGGCAGGAGGATTGGCAAGTTAAAGGGTAGCCTCTGCAACTTAGTGAGAACCTATCTCAAAAAATAAAAAGGGGTGAGGATGCAGCTCCGTGGCAGAGTGCTTGCCTAGCATGCATGCAGCCCTGGGGTTCCATCCCCAGGATTCAAAAAAAAAAAAGATCCCGCTGTGGACGGAAATCAGTGTCCTTCCCGCAGCCCTGGTCCACATGTCGAAGCCCTCGCCCCAGCATGATGGCATTAGGAGGTGACTAGGGCATAAGAGTGGCCCTCGTGATGGGGTTGGGGCACCTGTAAGAAGGATGAGAGATTCACTCTGGCATTCAGAGGAAGTAAGATGCAGCAAGAAGGCGGCCATCTGCAAGCCAGGAAGAGCAGCCTCACCAGAGCCCAAACCCTGATGGACCTCCATCTCAGACATTCCAGCCTCCAGGACTGAAAGGCAATAAAAGTATATTGTGTAAGCTGCAGTGTTGTGTTGTGTTGTGTTTTATGGGAGCCCAAGAGAATAAGGCAGACCTCAACAACTGACAACAAGGGTTCTGTGGTGGATGAGTGATGTGAAGGGACTGAGGCTTGGTCCTTCGGGTGGAGACACTATGGCTAGGGACCAAGGGTGTATTAGTCTGTTATCTGTTGCTGTAACAAAATACCAGAAGCTGGTACTTAGTTGAGAGGTTTTATTTAGCTTAAGAGATTTGGAGACTGAAAGTCCAAGATTGGGCAGCTCCATCTGTTTGGTCTCTGGTGATGATGCCCTTGGATGGGTCACAACACAGAGAAGCAGAAAGAAAAACAGCTGCATGCCAAAGTGGCCAAGTGCATGGGGTGGCCTTGCGTTACAACAGCAGGCTACGGAAAGAACTAATGGAGTCCTTCCAGAACTACATTCTCTCTTCTGAGTGACCTAGCCAGCTGCCACTAGGCCCCAGTGACCTAGCTATCTCCCAAAAGCTCCACCAGCTTGTCACCATCCCCACACTGGGGACCAAGCTCCCAGCACACACTGGGCCACACTCTGACCTATGCTTTGGTCTCCTGCCTTTGATGGGATGGCCTGTGCCTGGTGGACACCTGGAGGGAGCACCATGCCCCGGGTGGCCAGGTCATGCAGTGGCTCCCCTGGCTCCCTCACCCTGCCCCAGGAGACCCAGGCTGCTCTGCACTGCCCGGGCACCTGCACCAGTTCAGCCCTCAGCCCTCCTCGACCCACACAGGAGGAAGGAAGACGTACATGGGGAGGCAGTGTCGGCCGGTTCTCTGGGCACACTGAGCAGGCTGACCCAGAACGTGATCCCAGGTAGCCTTGTGCCTTCCCAACCTCAGAAATCGGAACCTCCAGGCATAGGGAGACCCACATGAGGTGAGCGTGCCGGGGAAGGGTGGGGAGCTCACCGCGCCACGTTCTTATGCACTCTGGAGGTGCAGTTCAAGGCTGCGTGAATCAGTAACTGATTGAAGACGTCTCTCTGCAAGGTAATTAGCAAGTCAGGTGCCTGTAACATGGATGAGAGATGGACCCCAGCCCCACCACGCAGCACAGCCTGCAGCCCTCGATGCCACACTTACAGGCAGTGTGAGGGACAAGGACACTCCCACCTCAAGGACACTGATACCACAGGAGAGATGGTGGGCCGCAGGTGCCCGGGCTCCCTGGCCCAGGCCCTCCTGCTCTGGCCAGTAGTTTCACTGGGGGCAGCCAGCTCACCTGGGCATTGCTGCCCCCTATCTGGACGATGCGGTAGCGAATGGGTAGGAGCAGTTCCAAGACGCGGTCAGGGTTCCCATCCTCGGCTGCCACCAGGGCCTGGCACAGAGGCAGTCCCACATCTCGGGCCAGCAGGTGCTGGCAGTTTTCTCCTGGAGATCTGCCATCAACAAGACTCTCAGCAGCTGTCCGGCACAGCGTGACGTCCTGCCTCCATGAGTGTTCTAAGCGAGGACCCTTTCACAGCCACAGGGCAGGTGCTCTGACAGGGTGAGGCCACAGAAGCAGCCCAACCACGGGAAAGGAGAGCGCTCTGAACTCTGGTCTGGGCTGGACACGGCCTATTGTCAGCTACCTGGCCCTGGACGGGTGCCCCGACTTCTGGCCTCAGTTTCCTTACCCATAAAGTGGGTATAACAGTGGCGACCTTACAGAGAGGTTCAGACTGCCCAAAGGCACTGAAAGTCAGGGCGACCACAGGAGGGTATGTCTGTGGCACCTGTGCCTCCCAGGCAACCTGTCAGCCCTGGGCAGTCACTAGCCCCAATTTGCAGATGAGGAAGCTAAGGCTCAGAGCAGAGATGCACCTGGCCTAGGATCTCAGGTGTCTCTGGTCACAGGGCCCCCCTGTGTCCCCCATGGGAGGCTGTTCATGACACTGAGGCTCGAACACCCACCCTGAGGATGGAAAGAGCAGTGAGCTGGGGTACCAGGTGCACCTCTAGACATCATGTGCCGGCAGGGCACACTCCTGAGAATGGCCCTCCGCAGGCGTCCCCAGAGCCGACTCCCTGCATGGCCTCCACCCCAGCCTCCCCAGCAGGCAGCAGCAACCTTGAATAGGCCTTCACACGGCCCCTGCTCCCCGACCCTCGCAGCAGCAGGGGCCAGCCCCACCCTGGATGCTGCTCCATGGCCCCTCTGCATACTCGCTGGCATCCTGCAGGGTGGTCAGCAGCTCCTGTGTGGTCTGGGGGTCCCGGGCGCCCAGGGAGGCCATCAGGAAGTGTGCATCATTGAACAGCAGGATGTGGTCCCGGCTGTGCCTCTGGGTCACAGGCAGAATGTCCTGCCACCTCTGGCCCACAGATACCCCTAGAGACACAGGACTTGGCATGAGACTGGGAACAGGACGTGCCCTGCACTCTGGCCTCCCATGTCCAGGCACCCCTCAGGAAGCCCACACAGTCCTGCTCCAGGGAAGCAGCCAGGTAAACGGGGCTGAGGAGGCCTGTGGACCCTGCTTTAGGTTGACTTTGTTTAACTGTAAGGACATTAAATGTATAGGTGAAGCCAATTTTAAGAATTGTCAAGTGTTATTAAACACAGCCTTTGACCCCTCTGACAAATCCCCAAAGCACTTGAAATGCTTCAGTTGTTAACACAAGTACAGTGTCTGATACATAGTGGGCGCTCAATTAAAAATCTATGGAATTAACAACACCCTTCTGCCTGTACGTCTGTCCTCCTCAACTCCAGACGGCCCTGCCTCTGCCCTCCCTCTGCGGCCCCTCCTGGTCCTCGAGCCCTGGGTTCTCCTTCTCCCAGGCACCTGCCTCTCCACCAACGTTGCTCCTGATCTCTTTTTCATCCTATCAGACTGGACAATGGTTCTGGAGTCTCCACTTTGTGCTGCAAGGACAGCAAGGGCCTTTCTCATCCCCTGCCTGCCCCCTCGCTCGGCCACCTCCTCTCAGGCTGGAGTCTGGGCTCTCCCAGCCCTTCCCTAACCTCTCTCTGCATGGAGGCAGCCCAGATCGAAGCTCCCCAGAGAGTTCCAAGTGCCTTTGAAGGTCTCTTCCTCCAAAGAGGAACGTGCAGGATGCCAGGGTCTCAGGGTCCAGGGGGCCCTCCCCTTGCTGCCCAGTTCTAGGCCAAGTTTGGCCAGTTTCAGCTTTTTTACTTCCTTGACTACAGGAATGACCACAGAGCTAAGCCTGGAAAGTGTGGCAGCAGCCTCCTTGGGGACCCTGGCCTCCTCAGGGATCCCCTGGCCTCCTTGGGGATCCCCTGGCCTCCTTGGGGACCCTGGCCTCCTTGGGGATCCCCTGGCCTTCTTGGGGATCCCCTGGCATCTGTGAGGATCCTCTGGCCTCCTCGGGGACCCTGGCCCCCTTGCTGTTCTCGGGTCTCCAGCTGAGCTGCGCGGTCTTTCTGGAAGGCAGAGCCAAGCCCTGTCCAGCACTGCTCTGGCAGGCTCCCTCCCACTCCAGATAAAAGCCAAACTGCTTGCTCTGACCATCCTCTTGCCCCATCTGACCATGACCTCTCAAGCCTGCCCTCCCACATTGTCCCTCGCAGGCCACTGGCTGCTCCCTCTGTCAAGACCCTTCCCCGTCTCTTGCCACCATCAACTTCCATGGTTCACATTTTACCTCTGCTAGGAATCCTTCCTGGAACCTTCCAGAAACAGTTCACACTGCCCCCCCTCGGGTCCCTGTGGTGCTTGCCCAGGGCCTCCATCCCCACGTGGTCCAGTGCCCTAGGGCCTAGCGCGGGCAGTGCAGATTTGGTCCTGCTGAGTCTGGAGGAGTGGGGGCCACCTGGCTCTGTAGCAGTTGGCGGGAAGCCATCTACAGCCCTGAGCCGCGGCCAGCCCTCTCCGGGTCACCTGCAGAGCATCGGATAACGGGGCTGAGAGACCACTTTGTGATCCCAGGGTTGAGAAATGCTTGCCTTCCGTGCTACAGGAGAGGACTGAGGTAAGTAGCCAGGTGTCATCAGGCCCACAGGCCTGAGGGACAGGCTGTGGGAACAGCAGCTGCCACCCTGGGTACAAGCCTGAGGCTCCCATGCTCAGGCGAGATGGGGACTGGAAGAAGAGCAGTAGGTGGTGGCTGTGGCCAGTGGCCTCAGGCAGGCTGGAAAAGAGCCGTGCAGCTGGCACCTGGGGGGCAGGTGGCAGGTGGCCACTTGCCTCAAGGCCTGTGGCTAAGGAGCTCTTGCCCAGCCTAAAGCTCACCCTCATTGTGTTGGGAGAGGGGGGCAAGGGGCCCAGGGAGGGCAGGACACACTACCTTCCATCTGCAGGCGATAGAGCATTGAACAGCTGTCCACCACGTCCAGCATTGCACCGCTGGACCGCAGGCTGGGGAGGATCTAGAAGACAAGAGCCACTTAAGGCTGGACTCAGATGGCCAGCTGAGGGTGGGGGAGGGCAGGTGGGGGCACAGGGGTGACCAGAGTCAACGGACCTGGGCTGTGAGTGCGGCCCGCACAAAGCAAGGCCTCAGCTAACAGGACCCACCACCCCAATCATCCAGACCGTCACCCTGTCATGGCCCACACGGATACATGTACAAGAGTGGGCACAGGGCAGACATGAAGGAGCCCGCCACACTGAGGACCCAGGGGCATATGCCAGGCCCTGGCACCTGTCACCCCCCAGCTCTGAGCATCAGGAGACTCGGCTTGCGGCTTGCATTTCTAGATTCAGCTTTGCCCAGCAGGTGACCTGGTCTGCACCTCCCGGCACACAGTGCACACCACCTTCATGACTCTCAGAAGTCCTGACAACGAGGAACGATCACTTCAAGGATCCGTTCAGAGGGTTTTTCTCTAGTGTTCAGACTCCCAAATCATGGGAACTTCTGTGGCCACAGGTCTTAGTACTGAGCCCTCACTGGGTCATTTTTCAAAAGAACACCAGGGGCTGGGGAGGAGGGTGGGCATAGAGCTTCAGCATAGGAAGACAATAAGTTCTGGAGATGGAGGTGGGGACAGATGCTCAGTGTGGCCCACGTACTCAAGCCACTTAATTTTACATTTTGCATAAAAAAATTCCAGGGGCAGATCAATTATCTTACCAAAGAAGAGCAACCTAGGAATTAGCGATTACAGAGATGGTCACCTTGGACATGAGCATCTACCACACCTGCAGGGTGGACAGCGTCAATGGAATGCCCATTGCACACTGAGCTACAACACGGCTCTTGGCCACACTCAACCCTCTGAGATCACACACAAGGACGGGTCTCTGCTCCTACTGCTCTTTGGCTGGGACAGTGCTGGTGGCACAGAGGTCTATCAAAGATGAGAAGGCAAGTACTACGTGGACAGAACCCGGAACACTTACATGCTGGTCGTAAATGGTCAGTGCAGCCTCGTATTCACCCTGAGGACGTAAAGTCACCATGGTTAGCAGCTGGAGGGGCAAACTGTAAAGCCGAGAAAGGCACTGAACACAGCCAGCCAAAGGCCCCACGGGACCTCCACCTTATGAAGGGGGATGGGAGGGCTCAGGCCTGCGTCCTAGGAAGGGAAGAGGCCAAGCCTGCTGCCCCCACTTGGTTCTTGGCTCCAAGAATTGAGATAATGACAGGACCCGAAACTGCTGTGGAGGGAGCAGTTTCTGTGGAAGCACCATTTTTCCTACCAGGAAAGTTCACTCAGGCTGAGCAGCCCTACACCGAAAACCCCAAACCTGAAATCCAGAACCTCTGAGCACTGACATGACACCCCAAGTGGAAAATCCCACACCAGACCTCAGGTGACGGGTGCAGTGAGAACACAGGCACAAGCTGCGCGTGGCACACACCCATGATCCCAGCCACTCCGAGGCTGAGGCAGGAGGATGGCAAGTGTGAGGCCCATCTGGGTAAGACCTCATCTCAAATTTTAAAAATAGAAATAAAAAGGACTAGGGGTGCAGCTCAGTGGTGGAGCACTTGCCCAGTGTGTAGGAAGTCCTGGGTTCCATCCCAGGACGAAAACCAAACACAAAGGCACATGCCAAGCACAGCACCAAGTCACCCCCAGACTACGTGTACGTGCATGTGAGTCATCAGTGACTTTCGTGTTCAGACATGGGTACCAGCCCCAGGATATCTCATTATGAATGCACAAATATTCCTGAACCTGAGAAAATTCTAAATCGGCAACACTTCTGTGTCAAGCACTCTGCACAAGAGATGCTCAGCCTGGGGGCGCACGGCTCCCATCACCTGTTAGGAGCTTCTTCTAGTCTTTTCTTGCTATTTTCCCTCCTGTATATTCAAGTGGTTCTCCGCTTGCTTTTTTTTTTTTTCCAAGTCACCACACCTTACCTTGCTCACCCCTCTCTCCCTGGACCTCCAGGGAGCCTCCTGTCTCTATGATGACAGCATAAAAGAAGCACCCCCATAAGCTCATGGAACCCCTGGGGCCAGGGACTCCCAAGCCCCCACTCCTTCTGGGAGTTCCCATCTGTGACCAGCAGAGATACTGGTCACAAACTACCCACAATCCACATGACTCCCACTTATCAAGAGTGAAAGATGGCCGGGCACAGTGGCACACACCTGAATCCCAGTGGCTCGGCAGACTGAGGTAGGAGAATGGTGAGTTCAAAGCCAGCCTCATCAATAGTGAGGTGCAAGCAACTCAGTAAGACCCAGTCTCTCAATAAAATACAAAATAGGTCTGGGGATGTGGCTCAGTGGTCAAGTACCCTTGAGTTCAATCCCTGGTACCAAAAAAAAAAAAAAAAAAAAAAAGTGAAAAATGCTTTTTAGCAGCTCCGGCTTGAAAACACGCAGCTGTCTGGCTCCAAGGCCAGCTCGGGTGTAAACACAGCACGGGGCTCGGTGGCAGAGGCAGACAACAAACCCTAGACAGCACTTCTTCCTCCAAGTCTTCACAATGAGGCTGCCCACAGGGTGGCCATCTTACCTTTTCAATCAAGTATAAAGCCCAGTGCCAATAATTATGACAAGCAAGCATATCCGAGTCCTGTGGAAAGAAGAAGAGAGTCAAAGAAGCAGCTGGCAGCCCCAGGAGAAACCAGTACCATCCTGTGCTGCACAGAACCGGCCACCTCCGAGGGCAGCCTGGCAGCCCTGCAGCCCTGCCAGGCACCGGCTCCCAGGCCGCCCTGTGCTGGGCATCTGTACACTACCTTACGGCCTTCAGGGCTGAGGGGCAGCAACCATCACTCCTGCTTTTACAGAGGGGAAGCTGGGGCTGGGGCAGGTGGATGCATTGTCAGTCCCCAGCTAGGAGCAGCAGTCCCCGGGTCCCTGCAGGGAGCCTCTCAGTAGCTCCAGGTCCAGCCCCCCTCAGGTGAGGAGCAGGGAAGGAATGTTAGACCCCACCGTGCACCCCAAGGGCTCACGGCATTTGGATAAAACCGTGAGGATCCCCAGCTCAATCGTGAGGGGCTAAGTGTGGGTGTGCTCCAGCAGGGCTGGGGAAGCCCACGCAGGGCGGGCTGACACTCCAGTGGTGCTGCTGTTGGCTAGAGCCCAGCTCTCAATGGAGGCAGGCTCTGCTCAGAGCTGGGCCCACGGGGGCATCCCAGGCTTGAGGGACTGGGCTCATGACCCCTGCCAGGGGCAGTGTGCAATCCCTGGAAACCTAAAACAAGATGGCTGTGAGGAGGGACCCAACTTCTCCTCCCTGCCCTCCACAGAGCTGAACCCCAAGGTCTTCCTCACCCTGAAGGAACATGGGTATTCAATAAAAGCTGAGTGAATGGTCTGAGGTCTCCATCCACTGCCCCAAGTCCTTCCCAGCCCTGTCTGTCCAGAGGCACCACACAGTGATGCTTGCCCTTCCTTCTCTGAGACCCCTGCAGTGGCTCCTCCTCTCCCCAGACCCCACCTCACCCCTCCAGGAGAGGCCCCTCCTACACAGCCTATGTCCACCTAAGTTGCCACCAACCGCCCGGCTCCCCTCTCAGGCTCTCATAGGCCTTGGCCTTTGCTCCAGCAGCTGCTGGGTTAGAATACCCTCCACTTTCACCTCCTCCATCTGCCAAACACCTATCATCCTTCAGTACTCAGCTCAGAAGCTGCCCCGTCTAGGAAGCCTTCCATGACCACTGCCCCCCAAGCCCAGTGGGGTCTGACACCTCCTCTGGGTTCCACATCCCCAACAGTATCGGTCATGGGGTAGCACCTGCACTCATCTAAGCTACTCATTCCAGGTCACCAGGCCCTGTGAGGACAGAGAAGTCTGCACTGGACCCTCAAGGATTCCCCAGGGAAGGACAAAGGCCTGGGGTAGAGACTGGAGTCTCACTGAGATCTGGGTCTGCAGATGCAGAAGGCAGGTGCCGAAGAAGGAAAGGGAGCCCCAGGCCATGCCACCCACACCCAGAGCTATCCAGTCAGGCCAGAGGCTGCCAAGAGCCACCAGGACAGATAGGACACCAAAGGATAATCATCCATTCTGAGATGACCACTGGCTGTGTCGGAACCCAAACTGATGGGGGACTCATCTGGGGCCAAGGCTTCACATAGTACAGATGAGGAAAACTGGGCTCAGAGGGACCAAGGTCATGACCCAGGGTAGAGCTGGGCCTCTATGGCCTCTGTCAGGCATGGTAAAACCAGAGTGCTGAGGAAGGACTGTGAGCAGGATGGGAAGGAGGCCCAGCCTCGCTGCCCCCGGTGCTGCCTGGGCCAGCCTCCTGCCCCTCAGCTGGGAGGACTGGGATAATCTAGTGTTCCTCACCCCAGACAGCTGCCCACCTGCCTACAAGAACACACAGTACCTGCCTGGGGAGCCAGAGGTGGCAGGTTCCAGGTTCCCCAGGGCTGGTTCCACTGCCCCTGGGGCCTTACAGTGCCCAAAGTTTGGGGATCCATAGAAAGATCTGCACGTGGGCCTCACAGATCAGGGTTCTCAAATATAGCTACCTCTTAGCATGCTGTGCCCAGGAACACTCCTGGAGATGCCGGAACCTTCTTGTAAGCCACACCCCACTGGGAATGTCATGGGCCAGGAGGCGGCTCAGAGGGACATTGGGTCCTTTTTCTCACATCACTGAGCACCGGCCACCTGGTACCAGGCTCTGGGGAAGACTTGCTGCCCCGGTAGACGGTGCCCTGGGGAGCCCACCATGGTACACAGAAGGACAGGACAGCAAGGACACCTGGTCAGGTGGCTAGGCCAGGTGCCAGAGCACGCCTGGGGCAAGAGGCACACAGAGAGGAGGAAGGGCCACCTTGGCTTGCAGGGAGGGAGGAAAAGATCCCAAGAAGGCAGCCAGTCAACATCGGGGCTGAGTGAAGTCAGGAGCCGGGAGTGGGCACAGTGAGGCCGGAGTGGTTGGGCCACTGGAAAGGGCCTGGCAGGGTGCCACGACTCTAGAGGCCCCAATACCTGCCCCCCATATGCCAGTCCTGCAGACACCACGGCCCTCGCCCCCACAGGCCTCCTGGCCTCCTTCCCAGCTGCATCAAACACTTGCCGAGGCTACTCAGCGATTTCAGGAGGAGCCCCTGGCCAATGCCAGCCAACTCAGAGTCCCACCCACACCAGGCTTTAATCTCCCTAGTGACCTTTTGATCCAGTTCTTTTGCAACCAAATGCCTCAGGCCCAGAGCAATTCTAGAGTAACCTGCAACGTTGGCAGCTGTGGCTCCCAGGGAACCCTGCTGCCTGGCCCAGGTACTTGGAGCTGATCACACTCTGGAGAGCTAAGCCACCTGGGACTCCCATGCAGAAAGCCTCGGGGCAGATGAGGTGGCCACAGAAGCACACCTTCCAATGGGCTTCCGAGTGCTGCATGAAGTCCATCCCGGCCCGCACCTCGGCTCTCATCTCATGGATGTGGGCAATGGTGTGCACCGACCACGCATCCGTGGGCTCCGCAGATAATGCCTAGGTAGGGCGGGTGGAAGAGCATGGGTCAGTCAGCTGGCCTGGGCCGGGGCAGCACCTTTCTAAGGGGCACAGGGTCTGACCTGGACAGGGCAGAGCAAGTGTGAAGACTGAGTTCTGACTCAGCAGAGCCACAACCAACAACCAGCTCCACGGCCCCTGTGCCTGGGGCACACCCAGCTGGTGGTGCCAACCCCGGGATGTGCTGAGGGGGTATCCCCGCCCGTTCCACACATGAGGACACTGAGGCTCAGGGGGGCTGAGTGACTCGCCCAGGTTTCCGAAATCCAGAGCTCAGCCGCTGACCTCACAGCCTCCTTTGTACTGCTGAGCCGTCTGGTGGCTCTGGGCCTGGTTCCCCCTGGTGGAGGGGTCACTGATGCCACCTTCCTGTCACAAGCCGCAGTGGCTTGTGGCTGCCCCCTCCCACTGACATTCATGTGATGACCACCCGGGTGGCCTTCTGAGTCCCCTGGTGAGGCCCATGCCAAGCCGCGAGTCCTGCAGCCCCACTGCCTCCACCTTCCCACACCTTCCACAGCAGCACGGAAGGGCCGAGCACCTCTGTCCCAGCCGGGCACCCACGCAGGGTTTGGCAACAGGTGGTCCCCAGCAAGCCCTCCTTCCTGTTCCAGCCTTGGCTTTCTCAGGCTCTGCCCACTACACATGGGCCTGCGGGAGGAAGAGAGTGGGTCCCAGGTCCCGGGAGGCCCAGGTGCCAGGCACCTGGGGACATTGCTGTGCTCACGCAGGGCAGAGGAAGGGGGCTGTGGCTCAGAGCAGAGCCCTGCCCCCGCTGGCTCTCGCTGGCTCTGGCGGGGGCCACAGCCTCTTCCCTTGCATGGAGCCCTCTGGAGGACCCTGGGAGCGTTCAGGCTTCCTTCTCAGGCTCCCCTGGCCAGCCAGCCACTGCCTCTCTGGCCCCTCGCTAGGCTGGGGCGGGCCTAGGGGCCCTGCTGCTGCCCTAGGAGGCCTGTGCAGGGCAGTGGAGCTGCTGCCACCATCCTCGCTGTCCTAGGAGTCTGGTGGACACATGGAGCTGGCCTTCATGCTCAGTGATTGTCTATGGGGGTCAGGACAAGGGTCAGAGTGTGCGGCCTGGGAATAACAGGAGCCAGGGGCGCGAGGGAGCAGGGCAGGAGCAGGGCCTACCTCACTGCCTCTTGCTCCTGTGAGGCGCACCCAAGCCTCCACCTTTTGCCATCCCCTGGGTGAATCTGCCATGTTAGTTCCCACAGCCTCCCTGCCCCCGACCTTTCTCAACTCTCCTGCTGTCCCTCAGGTGCCCACTGAACGTCATCCAACCAGAGAGCCATCTGTGATGGCTCCTAAGAGATCTTCCTGTGGCTGGCCCCTGGACAATGGTGCCTGGTCACCAGGGAGCCAGGATGGCCAAGAAGCTACCCAGTCCTCCCAGATCTGACTCAGAGCTAAGGCAAAGAACCTCCATCCTGAGCCTCAAACCTGGGCTCCGATTCTGTAACCAGGCAGTCTTCAGACACGCCTAGCAGTGGTCTCGTGGGAAAGGGTACTTCAGGGCCACACCTGGGGGAAGCCTCCTGGCTAGGATGCCGGGAAGCAGGGGTCTAGACAGGCAGCTTGAAGCCTTCCAGTTTGGAGGCCCATGTGAGAATCTGACCACCTCCAGCAGTGAACAGTGTGGCCTGGGGCAGGCTCTGGCCCTGGCCTCTCCGAGCCTCTGCCTGTCTTGTCTGGGCAACAAGGAATTTAGGGTCACAGGTACAGAGTGTGGACAAGAGCTGGCATACATGACATGCCAGTCCACTGCTGGATCAGGAGCAGCTGTCACCCTTTGTGCAGGACAGTCCCTCCCTGAGCCTCAGTTTCCACTCTGCAGGGACAGAAGTGGCAGAGAGGGACTCCTCCAGAGCTTGAGTTGCCATACATGTAGGCCTGCTGCCTGGCCTGAGATCTGGGCTGGTGGAGCATCCACCAAGCTCTGTGCCAGGCAGCAGGCACCAGGTGGCATGGAGTTGGGGCCTGGGAAGGCAGACATCACCTAGCAGGCTCCGCACTGGCCCTTCCCACAGGTATGTACACTGAGCAATAGGCCTGGCCAACAGGAGGACTTGTAGGCAAGAAGACCTCATCACTTGAGGAGGACGAAGAGCCTGTGGCAGCCTTTATTTATCATTACTGACTCCCAGAGCTTTGGTGCCATTAGCAATGCTTACCAAGGTCAGTTCAAGCAAGAAGAACAAGTTTGCTTCTGCCTCATCACCTGTGAGATCCTGTCTCAGCCAGGCACTTATGGCTCTGGAGACAAACAGGGCTGATGGGAGCCCAGAGCCACCATACTGTGCAATCCCACGTGAGTGAGGGGCCCCCGCCTCCCTGTCCTAATCTGTAGACGTGGATGTGGCTCTGGACACCTCAAAAGGCACAGATGAGTGACAGACAGGAGGAAGCCCTGCCTTGGCAGATGACTGCACCAATGTGAGCCTCTTCCAAATCTCTGAGGATGCTCAGAGTGGGTCACAAATGAGGGGTGGCCCTCAAAAGCTCTGCCCTACCTGATGGCCCCTCTCTGAAGGGTCATGCATGCTGGTAAAAGCTCACTTACCTCTTTAGCAAGTTTTTCTGCCCGATCATAGAAGTTGGTTTCCATTAATCCAAACGAATAGATGCCTTTCACATAGCTGGGAACAGAGAAAATGTCACAATATAAAAAGATGGACCTGTAGTAGGTGGAACTGTATCCCACAAGGCGTGGTAACATTATCACTCTCAGGACCTGTGAATGTGACTGCACTTGGAAACAGGGTTTTGCAGATGTAATCAAGTCAAGCTGAGGTGGGAGTAATCCAAAGGCTGTGGTCCCTACAGGAGGCCACGGGAAGTCAGAGAGAGGCACAGCAGAGGGCCCATGAAGACGGAGGCAGAAATTAAAGGGACACCAGAGAGTCTGGCCACCACCAGAAGCTGGTGGCGGGAAGGAGGGACCCCCAGACCCTTCGGAGAAAACAGGTCTGGCCCAAACCTTGCTGCAGACCTCTGGCCTCTGAACCAAAAGTGAATGCATGTATGCTGCTTTCAGCCATGCGGCTGGCGGAACTCGGTTACTGTGAAGCCAGATTTAAAGTTAGGTAGTCAGTGTAGTTAGATAAATCGGGTCTAATGCCGAGTGAAATCTAAAATGGAGACCATGCGGAGAATGACTCAGGGAAAACACAGGACAACTCATGGAAGTCCCGAAAAGGCCCTAGGCCAAAGTCCACCTCAAAGAAATGTTAATGAACAGCCCCCAGCAAAAAGGTGCTGACTCAGAAGTCCTTCCTGACCAGATTACTTCTTTGGCCCACCTGTGTCCCACCCCTCGGGCCTTCCCACCTACATTCCATCACTGAAAGAACTATAAAAAGGGGAGACAACATCCCTTCCACGGATTCCACCTCTTGGGTCCCCTTCTTCCTCTGGGAGAAGTCTTTTCTGCTGTCCCTTAATAAACTTCTAATTTCTACTCTGACCTTGCCTCGGCGTGCTTCTTTGGTGTTATTCTTCAACATTGGGGAAGCAAGAACTCGTCACCGGTCAACAGCGGTAACAACGGCAGCCCAGAGAGACTGGCCTGCTCCAGCCCGTGCCAAGCCCTGAGCTGCTCAACCATCTGAGGCTTCTGGTTGGTGAGGAGCAAAGTGGCCTTCATCATCCACGTACTGTCCCCAAGCCCAGCGCCATCCACATAGCAGTGGCCTCAGTGTCCACCTCCTCAGACATCAGCAGTCTCCAATGAGGACCGCTGGTCCTCCTGGCCCTGCTGAAATCCACCCAGGGGCACGGCTCCAGGCACCTTCCCAGGAAGCCTCTGTGGCCCGTGGGCTGTCGGCGGCTCCTCCTTTGCTCCTGCAGCACTGTGCACAGGCCCACTGCCCGACTGGACGCACCCACTGGACAGCCTGGCCACTCCCAGGCCCAGAGCGCCGGGACCTGTTTGTCTAATGCACTGTCAGCCCTGGCCCTGCCCAGGCTGGACTCAAGACGCTGCTGAACAGACACACACCCGCAGTTCTCATCCGGGCCCCAGAGCCCCAGGGTGGCCTACACGAGAGGCGTTCTCCCTTGTGTGTTTGGGGGGTTAAGTGAGAACAAGATAGAGGGATGCTGGTTCTGCTCGAGGCCCAGGTGTTGTCCTCACTAATCTTTACCACCATGGACAGAGACGATTCTAACTTTCGTTATTCACCAAAGCGAAGTTCTAAAGCAGTAGCTCCAGGTGTAGCTTTAAAGACAAAAACAAAAAAATTACTAAGTGCTCACTGCACTTCAGGTATTAACAGGATGTCAGGATAATTTCATGTGTCAGCTGGGCGAGGCCACAGTACCCAGTTGTTAGATGAAAACCAGGGTAGCTGATGCTGTGGATATTTTTCTTTTTAGATGTGATTTTTAACACTTAAATCAGTAAAATTTGAATCAAACAGATTACCTTCCATAATGGGGGTAGGCCTCCTCCAATCAGTTGAAGGTGTTAGGAGTAAAGACTAAGGTCCCCAAAAGAAGGAGCTTCGCCTCCAGAGTGCCTTCAGATACTCGACTATAATGCTAGCCCCTGCACGAACTTCTAGCCTGCTGCCTTGCCCTACAGATTTCAAACTTGCCAGACCTGACAATCACATGAGCCAATTTAAAACAATTCTTTCTCTCTTTCTCCTTCTTTTTGGAGAACAAAATCTAAGGGATGCTTGTTATTGTAGCAAAAATGATCAAGAGAGAGATACGGACTGAGAACAAGCCCAAGTTCCTACTGTTTGGGGCTTTTGTGGGGGTTTTTCGGACAGCCATGACCAATACAGCTCTTTATTCTATTAACCTGTTTGATGCTCACAACAATCCCAGGACTAAATTGCAATGAAGCCTACCATGGGTGGTGGTCAACAGGCTATTGTCAGACACACCTGGCCTTCCTCTCTTCCCAAACATGGGACAACTGTACTTTCTGCTCTCCCCTAAGGGGATCAGGTCATGTGTTCAGTTCTGGTCCATGATGTGGGAGAGGCAGGGTATCCCTTTCATTCTGAGCACTGAATTGCCACTATGAACCCTTAAGAAGAGTTCTTTTTTTCTCCGGTAGCAACTGTGTCCAGAGGGCAGCTACGTCACTAGCTGGGACCCTAGTGGGAGACAAGGACACTGTCACAGAACCCTTGGCCTTCTTTAGATGGACATGGAGTATACGTGAGAAATTTGCTATAATAAAGTTTGGAGAATAAGATCTAGGGAATGCTTGTTTTGTTTTAATTGTTTTTTCAGATGTAGTTGGACACAATATCTTTATTTTATTTTTTTGTTTTTATGTGGTGCTGAGGATTGAACCCAGTGGCTCACACATGGGAGGCAAGCACTCTACCACTGAGCTACAACCCCAGCCCTAGGGAATACTTGTTATAGCAGCAAACAATCCCATCCTGACCAGTACATAATATTACTACCATTTTCACAGGATGCCAAGATCACATGAAGAAGAGGAAACCTTTTAACTTTGAAGAACTAGAATAGCAACAGCGGTCTCATTACTTTTAGGGCAGGTCCATAAGGGTGGTTATATTTTTAGGGATGAAGAAAGCAATTAAGATATAAAAATGATGTGATTTCCACCATACCTGCTAAGTGGGATGTCAGGTGTCCAAAAGGGGTAAACTCGAGCAACAGAATCTCGCATCTGTTCCTGATAGCCCAGGTAAAAATAGGCATCATGGGAAAATTTCAGGGCCAACATGTCTGTTGGGTGGTCTCGGAGAATCTGTTCCCATAGATCACAGGCTTTGGGGAAGTTCCTGGAAACCAAGAGAGATCTCTCAGCTCCGCTGAACACAAAGCCCACGTACGTGGGAAACGTAAGATACCTGGTGTGGGAGTCTGCACTGAATTGTTTTTTGCTTGTTTGTTTGTTGTACTGGGGATTGAACCTAGAGGTGCTTTACTACAACTAAGTCATAATCCCAGCCCTTTTTATTTTTTTATTTTGAAACAAGGTCTTACTAAGTTACTTAGAGCTTCACTAAGTTGCTGAGGCTGGCTTTGAACTTGCGATCCTCCTGCCTCAGCCTCCAGAGTCACTGGGATAACAGAGTATGACACTGTGATCGGCTCACTGAATTGGTTTTTAAAAATTATAGTAGGGGCTGGGAGTGTAACTCAGTGGTGGAGGACTTGCCTAGCCTATGGGAGTCCCTGGGTCCCCTTGTAAATTGATCATTTCAGTAGCTTTGTCAGGGTCGGAGAGCAAATGGACAGTAGTCTGGGTGGTAAGCAGTATGTGGGTGAATATGTCCTCTTCTCTTCTCTCTTCTGGATATGTCTGTAATGCCTTCCCATCCGTTTTTTTTTGTTAAAATAATAAGCCATTTAGTTAGGAATCAAGTCGCCCTGAACACTGATTGGGATCCCACACAACAGGTACCTCCTTGCCTGGCATACAGCAGCCAGCAGGACGCTCTCTGCAGCCAGCGGCCCCCCAGGTGGGGATTCCTCTGAAGCTGCCCCTTCCCAAGGGCACTGGGACGGCCTGCACACCACCCCGCATGGCCTCGCAGCGCCAGGCCCTGGCCCAGGGGGCCCCTCACCCCTTGGCAAATGCCTCCACCGCAGACACGTGCAGCTGTTCCCGCGGTGTCAGCAGCTGGGTGTGTGAGGTCTCCACCATTGTCTTCACGGCCAGGTCCAGCTCTCTGTCTAGCCTCACGGAGCTTCCCGTGCCGATGAGCACGAGGCCGTTAGAGATAACCTGGCCCATGGCTGGCGGAGGATTGGAAAACAGCTCTGGATTTAGACGGCCCAGCTGAGCCCTGACCAGCCCCGTGTGGGAAATGGCCAGCTCACGTCCCAGAAGTGTGAGCCAGACTACGCATGCTCGATGGCTTGTGCCAAAGTGCACGGTCGAGCAGGAAAGCCCTGGAAGCAGCCACACATAGTTTCTTAACAGGGTACTCTGGCGAGTGCCCATGTCCCAAGCACCTGCCCTTTCACCTGAGGAGCGGGGGAGGGGTCTGCCTGTGGGTTCATGGGCTGGTACTGTCACTACGACCAGCGCTCTGTCCCCTGGAGATGCTCAGTGGACACCATTCAGGTTGGTCCCACGAGGTCCCAGAGCAGAGGTGCACAACCCTGCCCCACAGCTCTCACTTGCTGACAGTGGGGGTCAGGGTGCCTTGGGGCAGCAGCTTGTCAAACCCTTCCTTGGCTTCCCAGCTCCCACCTTGAGAGAGGCAGGGTGTCCACTGGCCTGGGACCTAGAAACTACCACAGTGCTAGGCCCGTCCACGCGGCCCCTGTTTCTGAACTGGGATTGAGGTCTTCTCAAAGAACCTGAGCCCACCCTGACCACTGGCTGCCCCTGCAAGCTGGGGTCAGCTTCCCCTTTCCTCCCCAGTTCCATCCCTGTCTGCCCTTGCCAGGGCAGCACGAGGCCTCTGCCTTTATCTGGACCAGGGTACAGCAGGTGGGGAAGGGTCCCTGCTGCCAGTCCTCTCCTCTCCTCCCAGGCCCAGAGCCTCAACCCACACTGGGATGCCCACCTAGGGTCTGGGATGCACTGTGCTGACGCCCTGCCCACCACCCACAAGGCTTGCCTGTGTGCCAGCCTGTCCCGCCGGGTCCTGTCCTGCCCCCACCCTGGCGGCTCTGACAGAGTCTGTAGTCACCACCTCCTGAGTTCAGAGCTTGGGATTCAGACAACTTTGGGAATGTGTCTTATTCTCACTGAAACTCAGTTTCCTCATCACAGAAGGTGGATCAGTGTCTTCGTGAAGAATTGATGGTAATCAGGAAAAAAATCTGGAAAGAGCCTCCTACAGAAGCAGCTGGACCCAGACATGACTGCAGCCGAGGCCCTCCCTCCCGTGGCTGCCCTCAGCAGCCCTCCCCACCAGCCGAGCCCACACCGTCTCCTCACTGGGGAGATCATCACTCACCAAAGGTCGGATCTGCTGCTCTGAGCTTTGACAGACAGCCCTCAATGCCACCAAGATTCTTGTCGTTGGTCCATTTTACATACTAGAATTAAAAAGGTAAAACAAAGTTGTCCTCAGGGACCCCTTGAATCTTATTAATGAAGGCAGAGTCTAAACCTGGATTTTTTTTTTTCTTTTCAGAGCTGCGGTCTCACGCAGGCTAAGCACATGCTCTACTGCGGAGCCACACCCCAGCGCCAGATTCCTTTTCTCTCTAGGACAGTGGGTATGTTTGGGACTCTGGCATAACTTTTGAACTCTTAGAAAGCATAAATTGTGGTTTCCTGGGAAGAGATTAAACGCAGATGACTCAAGATGCTTTTTGGCCTGGTGATGCCATTTCCCAAACCCAACGCTGGTCCTCCTGACAGGTAGCCTGCCACACATCAGCTTCTCTGCCTGCAATTCCTGCTTCTAATTCACTCCTCTTAAAAATAACTAAAATAGGGCTGGGGATACAGCAGTGTTGGAGGCGGAGACATTTTGAGGTGACCAGGTCGTTAAGAGGAAGTGAAGTCCTTCTCCTAAGGCCATATTAGTTCTCTCTGAGCAGGTTATAAATCAGGCCGCCCCTTGGTCCCTATCCCATTCTACTTCCTGCCATGAGGCCCTCACCAGAAGCTGAGTAGATGCTGGTACCATGCTCTTGAACTTCTAGAACTGCAATCTAAATAAACCTCTTTTCTTTAGGAATTATCCAGTCTCGGGCACTCTGATCCAACAACAGAAAATGGATTAAGACAGATACTTATTTTTTTTAAATCCTAAAGTCATTAATAATGCATTGGATTTTAAAATCTGTCCTTTTGCTTCTTCATAAGGCACAGAGTAGCTGGCACAGAGCTTCATGAACCCCTGCTGAGGCAGGAAGGCACAGAGACACCGGTATACAGGGCGGAATGTGCACAGGCAAGAGGGTGAGCTGCTGCCAAATGAGGAATGTGGAGTGGAAGGGCTCAAGTACTCCCCAGGGGCCAAGAAGGCACAGCAGGGACAAGGGGGGCCCTGATAAGCACAAAGCAGACAGCTCCAAAGCACAGCACAGAGTCGCTTGGCAAGGACAGGCTGAGCACAGAAACACCCACAGGTGGCAAGGGCACTTCAGCAGTGAACTTGTGCAGTTCAGATGCTCCTAAGAGCTCCCTGGTCCTCCCGTGGTGTGGACTGAGTCGGTCCAGTCGGCTTCCCTCAGCATGCTTGGGAAGATACATCCTGGCTTTGCCTTTAACTCCCCGGACCACCTTCTACTCTAGTCAGCTCAACCCTTGGGGCCTCTGTTTCCCAACCTGTCCAACAAACTGGTTGGTCTTTACTCCTCGGTCCAAGACCACAGGATCCCTTGCTGGTGGAGAAATCTGCAGTGTCAGGTCCTGGCCTAGCCACACGCAGGCAAATTCGCAGACCAGCCCAGCGCAGGAACCCATTCCCTACAGGTCAGAGCCCACATCAAAGCCTCAGCAGTCCACAGGTGGGGGCTCAGCTGAGTCCACTGTTGTCTGCCTGCCCCGGGGGACTTCAGGAGAAGAGTGAGTACAGAGGGCTTCTCAGCCACACTGTGGCCAACAGAGACACTTCCCACATGCTCCAAAGGGCCGGATTTCCCCGCAGCCCAGTGCAACTTAAAAAGCTTCCAATTAGGTGCAGAACGCTCTCCACAGAGCCGTGCAGGAGGGGCCCCGGCTGCTCTGCAGGCATACCTGGGTCAGGGTGGCGTCAAACAGCTTGCAGGCTTCATTGCTTGGCGTGGAGAGTGGGAGCCCGGCATCCCTCCATGCCTACACACAGGAAGAAGGAACACCAGGGCCAGGTTCCATGAAGTGCCTTGAACTTGAGCCCCACCCCGCACATTGCCCATCTGCCCATGCCCAGCACTCAGGCTTCTGTAAGATGTGGCCTTGCCTGGCTCTCGTGGGCTTTGAGACTTCATGCAGTGCAGAGCACAGCGAGAGGTAAGCCTGTCTGGGACAGAGTCCCATCCAATCCCTGAAAGCTGTGTGTCCTCAGCAGGACCCTCCCCCTCAGACTCTGTAAAACGGGAACAGGAGGATCCAGGAGGGTGACCTAAAGTGTCTGGAGGAGGCACACACTCAGCACAGGAGGGGAGGTCCAACCTTACAGGTGAGGAGTCTAGCACATAAGAGCAACCTGGAGGAGGGTGGGCTTTCCACCTGGTTGGCAAAGTGTATAGCACCTGCTGTCACAGGGCACAGACCTGCTACGAAATGATGGCAGCTGTGGAGACCCTGCTCTTCAAACTCCAGTTCTTAGCTGGGTGTGGTAGTGCACGCCTATAATCCCTGCAACTCAGGAGGCTGAGGCAGGAGGATCACAAGTTTGAGGCCAGCCTGAGCAACTTAGGAAGGCCCTACGCAACTTAGTGGGAACCTGTCTCAAAATAAAAAATAAAAAAAGGGATGGGGATGTGGCTCAGTTGTTAAATGCCCCTGGGTTCAAACCCCAGTACCAACCAACAAAAATCCACTAGAAAGATTCCAGACATGTTGTTCAGAGTAACAGGCATGAGTTTATTAGAAGGGATTAGAAAAGAGCAAAGGAGACACTCTAAAGGAAAAGTGTGGATTCTCTCAGAGAGGAGAGGGACAGTGCATCCCTCCTGCCCTCCAGTTTTATGGGGGGGGGGGGGAGTCCCAGGGCAGTTTCCAAAGAGGCTTGCCCAGCTCTAGTCTTGATTTTTAACGACAGCATAAGAACTGCGTGGACCACAGAAAGAGAGGGTGGTGTAAGTCTCTGCTGGAGATTTTTAGGAAGTGGAGTCCCCCTGTTTCAGCCTCAATTTCCTGTCCCCTTCATCCATTTGACTAGCCCTCAGCAAGCTGTCCTTGTGAGGGTCTTAATGTTTCAGTTGCCAGGGTGAAGGGGGGTTGTGCCAGTCCTGGTGGTCAGGGAGGGTCCAGGCCACCTCCTGGGGTGTGACATGATCTTTCTGGAGGATGTCTTAACATACCCAGCCCCAACCTTCCAGGTGCTGTCGGGCAAGGCTCCCTATGGCTTTCAGCAGCCCTTCAAGGTCCTTTCCCGTCACACCCATTTGTGACTATCTACCTAACACTGTCAACCACCAAACCACACCTCCCACCTTCCACTCTATAGGAGGACTCAGACCCTCAAGTCCCCCAGAGAAAACAACTCAAGATGGTCAGATTCGTTCACTGTCACAGCCACCCTTGGTGTCAGGCCAGAGGCCAAAGACCCGCTGATTTCCCCGAATGGAGGAAATAACCCTGGCCAGCAGAGGGCCGTCCCCCTGGGCGATTTGAAGAAACCTCCTTCCATTTGGTGTCCCTGTGGTACCAGTCATGTCGGCTGAGCAAAATTTTTAGGAGGTTCCTGGGGTCTCCCCGACTCCGAGGGGCTTTCCTAGGTGGGGACGCCACAGGAGGATCGTGTAGCCTCTCCGTGCGCGGACACCGAGGCGCCCGGGCGCCCAGGACCGACTCCTGCGCCAGGTTCACGGCCAGTCCTCCTCGGCAGCGCCCCCTCGCCTGACCCAGGTCGTCCGCAGGCCGGTCCCGCCCTGCCCGGCGATGGGCCACCCCGTGGGCCGAGGGGGACCCAGCGTACCTGACAGTCGCGCAGCTGCGCCAACGCGGCCATAGTCGGTGGAACTCGGGTCTGGGTCTGGGATCGGGGCTGCGCGCGCTGCTGCCGCCTCCCGGGACGGCTCCGGGCTGAGCGCGGCCGGGCGGGGCCGAGCTCTTCCGCCCGTTCATTGGTCGGTCAGCCCCGCCCGGCCCGCCCCGGCCCGCCCTCGAGGGCCAGCCGGACTCCTGAGCGCCGAAGCGGGCCTCTGGGGCTGTGCTCCAGGGCTCGTCCCTGCTGCTAGGCAGGGCACGAGGGGAACCTGCTTTGGTGTTAACCTCGGTGTCTGCGCTCGCCTTAGCCATCAGATAGGAGCCTGGGGCGGGAAGGCCAGAGCACCGGGGTCCTGAGCCGGCTGGCCTCCCAACCCCCTCGCCCCGCCAGAGCCTCCTGTCTGCTGGGGACCCTCTTGGGGAAGCGACTGCAGCCAGAGTCCCTTGAGAGGAAGGAGTGCCTGGGACAAGGATCACTTCCGAGTTCTAAATAGTCCCCCTTAGGTGTGGGAGGGAAAGGGAGGAGGCAGGGGATTAGCAAGGATGGTGGAATGCGATGGACTTAATTATCCAAAGTACATGTAAGAAGACATAAATTGGGTGTCAACCTACTTTATATACAGAGATATGAAAAATTGTGCTCTATATGTGTAATAAGAGTTGTAATGCATTCCACTGTTGTGTATTTAAAAAAAAATAAAACCAATTAAATAAATAGTCCCCCTAAGAAAGCCACGCGTGGGTACAGCCACATATTCACGAAGTCACTTTTGGTTAGCATCTCAGGGAGTGACAACTGCAGTCGCCTGCCTGCCCTGGCTCCACACCGAAGACCCGCGGCAGGGCTCTGCTATCAATATGCTCCCAAGCAGGCGGCTCTCTCCTGGGCTTTTTTTTTTTAATATTTATTTTTAAGTTTTAGGTGGACACAATATCTTTATTTTACATTTATGTGGTGATGAGGATGGAACCCAGTGCCTCATGCATGCTAGGCAAGCACTCTACCTCTGAGCCGCAACCCAGCCCCATCTCCTGGGCTTTAATCTAACCCCTCCCCACCTTCCTCCACGCTGCTGGAGTTAGGTGAGTGATGCAAGATCTTGTCTGTATTTAAAATGTTGATTTTTGTTTATCATGGCTTTTTGCATTACTTTTGATTTTCAGAAAATTTGTATTAATTACTGTTTATGTAAGAACTGAAACGATGAAATTATTAGAAAACATAGGCAAGATCTTCATGACCTTGGATTTGGCAATGGATTCTTACCTATAACACAAAAGAACCACTACCCAGAACAAAATAAATTGGACTTCATCAAATTAAAAACTTTTTTGCTCAAAGGACACTATTGAGAAAGAAAAAGGACAAACTACAGAATGGGAGAAGATATTTACAAATCATATATTGGATAAGTCTAGTATCCAGAATATACTAAGAATTCTTACAACCCAATAGCAAAATAACAAATAGCCCAATTAGAACAGGCAAAGGATATTTTTAAAATGTTTTTTTTTAGTTGTTGATATACTTTTATTTATTTATATGTGGTGCTGAGAATCGAACCCAGTGCCTCACACATGCCAGGCAAGTGCGCTACCGCTGAGCCCAGCCTCAGCCTTGGGTAAATGGACGTTCTCCAAAGAAGATGCAGACTTTGCAAGCTTGACAATTCAAAAGCACCCTTCATGCAGTTGCTAGCTGAAAGAAGCCAGGTACAAAAGGTCATAGACTAAGTGGTTGCAAGTGCACAACAGGCAATCCTCAGAGACAGATGTAGATTGTTGGTGGCCAGGGGCTTGGGGAGGTGGTCTGCTAATGGTCATGGAGTTTTCTTTGGGGGTGATGAAAATGTTTGGGAACTAGATAGAGATGATGGTTGAAAACATTGCAAATATACTTAATATCACTGAATTCTACACTTTGGAATGGTTAATTTTATGGGCACATTTCTTCAATGAAATATTATCTTAATTATGTTTTGGTTGTCCTTGCCCCTTAAATTTTGCACTTGAGTTGATGCTTGGGGCTCCTCACCATTCCTTCCTCCCAGCTCACTGTAAATCGTTTATCACTTTGGAGAAGAGTATGCTGCATTTGGGTGGTACAAATGAAGGTGCTCAGACCCCCAGATCTTCAGTATTCCACTCTGAATGACCAGGAGCCCCCCAAAAGGCCAAAAGCAAAACTCTGGGGTGGCCAGAGATGAGCTGGATCACCCTTGCAGGTACCATGTCCAGGGTGCCAAGGGCAGAGGCTGAAGAGGCAGCGGGGAGGGTATCTTTGGAGACCTCTGAAGGTGCCAGGTACCATATACATTTTCCCTCTCCTTCCCCTCATCCCTGCCCAGTGGTAGGACCTTCCTGAGACCCCTCAACCTGCCTCCCTGGAGAGCCTGGGGCCCAGAAGCTGGTGTCCACTGGTAACAGTGGCTTTGAGGGACAAGCAGAAGCAGGGGCTGTGGGACTGGAGTGGGGAGGAGGCTACAATCCCAGGAAATTCTGGTAGAGCGAAGGGTGCTGGTATTTCCTTGGGCCTTAGCATGGGCCTACAGGGAAAGCAGGTCTTGACCCAAGAGGGTCATCTGGAGGGGTGGTAGGCTTGTACAGGGTGACCCAAAAATCTGCACACCCAGGATCAAAGGATATTAGGAGAGGCCCTGCCTAATGGAGGGACCATTGGTAAGAGACCTTCACAAGAGCTCACTGAATCCTCCAAGGAAAAGTCAACTTTGATGCCATCAGTCACACAGGTACCACCAACTAGGCCCTTTTTCTGCTTGCGCTCTCTCTCTCTCTCTCTCTCTCTCGCTCTCTCTCTCTCTCTTAACCCTTTCAATTCTACTTAGGGGTGAGAGATGACCTGGGGAGAAGACAAAGACCAGAGCTTGGACTGGGAGAAGTTAATGTAGAATGAAGTCAGGTCTATTACATGGGCCTGGATAGGTTAATTACAGAAAAGTAACTTTTCATTGAAGCTAATGGTGAACAGAACACTTTTTATCCAAGGTGTGGGAAAGAACTGGCCTCCTACAGTGAGACTGAATGAGCTGGGGGTAGGGAGAGGAGATATAAATTCTTTTTCTTAAAATTGGAGTTCTGCTTAGCCAACATGCTAGTTACATTTGAGAGGGAACATGTTTGGGGTTGGATAGCTATATTACTGGTCATAGAAAATAACATAGAAACCAATTTTGACTACCATCAGTAGAAAACTACAAGTTTGTGAAAATGAATAACTAAAGCTACCTGAATCAACATGAATGATTCTCACAAATACAGTTTGTAGAAGAACATGTACAGTAGGGTGGCATTACAGGATTACATTAGTAGCCTGCAATTGACAGATTGCTAAGTGATCTGTCCCTGTGTAATAAAACAATAAGGAAACGTGTGAGTGAGAAGTACTAGGCCTGGATTGATCATTACCTAGTGGGGGTGGGATTTTCTTGCAGATGAAATAATTCTTCAAGAGGTTTTTAGCTGTATTGGCATTGTTTCTTTGGCTGGGATATGGGCACTTGGGTGGTATTTAGTTGATCTTTTTGTACATAGTAGTTTATAAACAGTTAAAATGACCTTTGTGTTGGGTGTGTTGGCCACACCTGTAATCCCAAAGCTTCTGGAGGCTGACGCAGGAGGGTCACAAATTCAAAGATAGCCTCAGAACTTATGGAGGCCCTAGGTAACTTCGTGAGATCCTGACTCAAAATAAAAAGGGCTGAGATTATAGCCCAGTGGTACAGTGCATCCTGAGTTCCATCCCCATTATAAAAAAAAAAAAAAAAAAAAAGTCCTTCACCTCTCCTACTCCCCCCAGGTACTGCCCCACACCTTGGCTCCACAAGGTCTCTGCACTAACCCAAAGAGTTGTATGTGGTTGCCTCCACTTCCTTGTTCCCTCCGGTTCCCCCTTCAGCCCACCTCACTCAAACTTTTGTCCCCACACCACCAAGCACCACAGACACAGCTCTTGTCCGGGGCACCACAGACTGTTCCTAAGTCCAACAGCAGCCTCACCCACGTCCTCTCTGGTGACTCAGCACATCTGGCATAGCCAGCTGCTCCCTGCCTGGAAGCCCTCTCCCCTCATTCCTGTGCACCCCAAGCCCCCATCCAGCCCTGCTCCTCTCCAGCTATGCTTTGGCTTGACCTGTAAATTCTGAAGGACTCCATGGCCTGTGGTCTTCTCCACTGGGACCTCTTCCCGACATGGTCTCTGATAACCCCAACCGGAGACCCTGAGCCTTGACATTTCCCCTAATCTTGGGCTGTCACAACAGAATGTCACTCGCTGGGTGGCTTAAATGCTTATTTCTCATCTTCTGGAGAGAAATTCAAGATCGGGGTGATGGTGTGATCAAATTCTTGGTAGCCCCCTTCCTAGTGTATGGATGGCACCCTTCCCGTCTTCACACAATCTTTCCTTGGTGTGTGCACATGGAAACGAGGAGAAGTAGGGAAAGTGTACCCGAAGTCAGATCTCCCCGGGGCCTTAGGAGCTCACAGTGCCTCTTGACTTCCAACATGGGGGAACTGGTCTTCCCAAGGAGTGAGATTTTTGCTAAGGAGCCTTCTTGGTGGGTCAGGATAAGGTAGGATAGCAGGAATAAGAAATAGGTACAAAGGAGACATAAAGGAAGGACAAGGAAATAAGATATCAATACAGAAGTCCCCTACTGCCTTTCTCCCAGGCCATCATCCCAAACTCCTGGGAAATCTGTAAATCCACCTGTGCACTCTTGACCCCTAATAAATACAATATTTTGAAAAATCTCTAATTTAGGAGACTTTCCAGGGCCCATCTATTGATCAGATCATGAAGACCTCATTGGCCTGAGCATCCTCAGATTGGCCGGGTCACCAGAACCTCTCTTCAAGTCACTGGTCTCACTCCCACACACCAGCCCATACCCACCCCTCACCAAGGTTCCTCTAAAAGAAGGGCCGAACTTCAAAAAGGCTGCTTCTCCTTCTTGAGATGGCCCCATCCTCCCCTGAATGTGTATCGCCTGTCCTCTGTACCTCTCTATACCTCCTCTATACCTCTGATGTGTGCTCAAATTATTTTCCATCAAGGAAGACAACCCTGTGAGCCCTGAGCCCGTTC